TAAATGTGAGTATGTCTAGCTTTTTGCACTCATGAAGTGGTTTGGCTTTTCTGATTAGAAGGCTTGGTGTGGTGTCAAGTAAAGGTCTGGCACATTTCCCAGCAGAGTGGCTTGAGGAGGACTGCAGGGGGAAGCTGAACAGGCAAGGCACAGGCGTGATGGTCTCTCTTGCTCCCTGGGATAGCTGGCAGCCCAAAGGACCAGGTAGCTATGTTGGAAGCAGAAGCAGGTGTTGGAAAAACTATGAACTTGCTATCCGACATGTGAGATGTACTTTGATGTGTACTCCAGCTGTGCCACAACATATTTTTCCATCTCTTTTCACATCTCATTTTTTTTTGAGAATGCACTCCATTGCAAAATCACATAATGTAACCTTGGAGAAGAAAAATCCTTTGGGTTAAGATATTAGAATAAGAGAATTAATCTGGTTTGAAAATCCTGTCCTTCTGAGGGTCTGCTTTTGTCATTTACTTAGTTTAGAAGATGAATATGGCAAAATATATTATTTATTAAAGTTGATATAGGCACTAGCCTGTGACTTCCTTTACTCACTCATACATTAAAATTAATAGAAAAGAATCTTCTAGCAGTTTAAACAGAATTTGCCTATATGACAGTAGGAGTAGGAGTCTTTTCTTATTTTTGTAAATTATTTAGCACGGACACAAATATTTTAAACCTCAAAATTGTGTATCATCTTTTTTTTTTTTCCTTGCTTGCTTGTTAGCATTTTAAGCACAGTTGTAATTTCAAGTGCAATTGGTATTTCCTTAGAGAAGCCAGAATGTCTTTTCTTGCAGCATCATAAAGCCTGTAATGGCTTTGAGTTTATTTTGCCAATACTGATTATAGTTGCTAATTGTTACTGCCAGAGATGCGAAAACATAGGCACTATAATCAGTATATAGATGGAGTGAATTCTGGAGTTTTTATGTAGGAACCAGGTTTTTGAGTCTAGATTAAACAAAATGTGAGTAAAGGTGTTCGAAATTGTGTTGATAAATATACACGTGTGCTGGTCTCGTACGTGGAAGTTTGTGTCTGCCATATGTTGATGAGAGTTATATTTGTCTCCTTTGCACTGAAAGAAAGTTAGAACTGTGTTACAGTCCACCAGGGACTACTTCTACTACAAGTGAAAGATGTATTTGGGAATTCAGTTTTCTTTCCTTTGAACTTTTTCAGCCCTCGAATAGCTGCTAAACTGTTCACCCACACTCAGTTTTCTTCCATGCCTCCATAGTGTGAGACATCATGTTCTGCTGGAGAACATGGTAACAGTGTGCTGCAAAACCAGTGTAGAAATCTAAGGCTCAGTTGGTGAGTATTTCTGAAACCAGATGACCTGTTCTATAGTCTTGTGTCACAATATTTAGGAATTTGTCATGTATTCTTTAAATATAAATATAGACACCTACATTTGTACGTTAAATTCTTAGTATTGATTTTTAAGTAGTGACCATCCACCTGTTTAAAATTCACCGAAGTGAATTTTAGAACTGTAACTGTCACAATTAGCAAGACAAGTTGATAACAAAAATATAACTCTTAGCTCTTAAGGCCTTTTTTCTGCCTTGGAGTGTCACAGATTAGGTGTGGGTCACACAGGGCACTGTAGTCAGATTGTGTTCAAACAATAGCATGAGTTGATTTGGACAGGAGCTTTTAAACACACTGTGGTTCACAGACCTTTGTTGCTTCCCTGAGACTCAGTGAAGCTTCTCTGTGTTCTGTCAAAGGCCTGCAGAGCATCCAGAGCATCCAGGTGGTGTGCAGGGTTCTTAGTCCTGCTTTCTAAACACATACAATAAAATGAAATTTTCCACAGCAAACTGACCTCGGACATGGAGTCTGGTAAGACCCAGTAGCTCCCTAGACAAGAGGCAGCCTGGGATTCACGTTGCCCTCCCTTCATGTTGCCCTATTGCTGCTGCAGCTGCTTGTCAGAGGGGAAAGGTGGAAGTAGGCCAAAGATACCTTGAGGTGCAACACATGGAGAATCCCAAGCAGGCTGCAATATATGAGGTGCAACACATGGAGAATCCCAAGCAGGCTGCAATATACTTAATTTGGAAAGGTTCAAAGGTTTTCATAAAAAAAGATGCAGGACAGATGAGTGGGGATAAAATAGTGTGGAATGGATAGAGAAGGTTTAGGTTCAAGATTCGGAATAGATTGCAGATCTCATATGTGTGCCAACAGAATCTTTGTATCACTTTGCAACCATTGCTGTAGTGGCTTAGGGAAAAGTTAAACATTACTCGTTTCAGTGAAACATTTATTTACAACTCCAGGACTATTCTCAGTAGAGACATAACTCTAGTATGAATCAAGTTGCATATGCCAAATTTCCTACAACAGAGAAAATGTATTGTAATGGAAATGTCCATGCTTTCTGTGCAGATCACACATCCCATGTCCAGAAATGAATGCAGGTACTATTTATTTGAAGTTATGAATGTATGTGGTGTTGCTTGTGTGTTTATACAGTATTTATTGGGGGACCAAAGGCAGGACAATAAAGGAAAGCGGATAGATGAAGTTCTAAGATATTAATAAGGCATTAATATTAAACTTCCTCTAAAAGACCTGTGGTTACCAAGTCCTGGTTTACATTAGTGCCTGTATTTTACAGAGTCTGTAATGTCTGTCATTGTAGCCCAAGTGACACATCTGTGATACCATTTTAGATGTGAGCAAAGGCATGAACTTTTAGTTCCAAAAGTAACCAGTCTGTTGGATACAAGTGCTGAGAGATAAGAACTCAATTTTTTTAAGTTCTTCTATTTCAGTATAGTAACCCACATATCATTTAGTTGATATATGCTGAAAATAGCCTGAATTTCTTCTCAATTTTAAATGGCTGAATGATGAGAGCTAAGCGTCTTTCAGGAATCATTCACATGGCTAAAGACACAGAATAGGAAGTTGCCTGATACAACTCAGTAGGAGACACTTGACACATGGGTTTGGTGGATTTAGAGCACCTGACTTGGAAGCTCAATGATTTCAAGTCCACAAACATTTTCATATACATTTAATTATTGTCTTTTTTGCTTACAAGTCAAAATACATATCGCTAATGCATGTATTTGAAACTCAATGCAGCATTTAACTGCCTGAACTACTGTTGCATTTTTGATGCCCTTCATTGATTCTTTGTTTCACAGCGGTTCACAGTGAGGAAAAAGTGTTTCAGATTCATCATAACAAGAAGGTGGTTTTAGTTTTTCATCTTCCCTCTCTGACAGAATACAGAAACAGTAATAAATTTAATACATCATATATGAAAGTCATTAATAAGAGCAGCCTTTATTTTGAACTCCTTTATGTGACATTCCCAACAACAGTACAGGGCCATAAGATTTAGCTGAAAATATTTTTGTTGCTCAGCTTGTTAGAAACATCCACTCCACAAGTTCTGTGTCAAAATGATTTGAAGTATCAGGTAGCGTTACTCCTTATCCAGAACTAGTCAATGTCTTTGATAATGATTTGGATTAAAGAACAATAAAAGCAGAAGGTGAAATGGTTTTCTAGCACTTTTGAAAATACAATTTGGATTGAGAATGATCTTGACTGGAGCAGTGGCCTAAAGTAAATAGTAC